GTGACATACTTGTGTCTCTTGTACCATCTGGGAAATACAGTGTACACAATCTTATCTGATATTGAAAGAACTTAAAGTGACTCCACACATCGTCATCAGCGTCCATTTTTGTGATGTACTTCCAGGAAAAAGTACAGCTCGGACTCAATTATCTTGATCGAAATGTGCATGTACACCGTGTCATCATTTCCATATTGCGTATCTGTCATTCAGTATCGTAGTGCAAATTATAGTAACACCTTTTCGCTTTAACGGTCAAACTGATCAGACCACTGTTGTTCGTTTATTAAATAAGGTTGGACCTAGTAATCTGATGCTGTTTTCAGGCGAGCCTTGAGAAAGCCTTGCAAGGCCTGCATACACATTTGCAGGTCCGCCAGGATTTATACCCGAAATTGTTACATTTATAAATGGTCAAATCGCTTGTTCCGCATAAATGAACAGGCCCCTGGTAAACAATAGTACATTTGAGTGCCGATGATATGTCAACACCTGATATCGAGATTTTACCGGGAAATGTATAATCACACGTACTTCGGGAATAAAGCTTTTCCAATTCATAGACATAAACAGACTCGCAGGAAGACAGTGACATGAGATCAGACGACCTCAAGAAGGTCATATAGGAAACACATGGAATGTGGACGTACCGACCTCACATGTGCATATCACATGCTTACACGAGTTTATAAGCTTGAGGTCGTTACAATTTTCGCTGTTGAGGGCATTTCACTCTGTCGATTAAATCGTGTTTACAAATGTAGTCTACTTACTCTGTGAAAATAATGTTTTGTAAAATATCAAGATACCTATGAAATGCATGTGTGAGTGCACGTGAGAACGGCATACCATGTGATAGCCTCTGGTCACATATGTACTTGACATGTAATTATAAATATACCGTGAGTTAGCGGACTGTGGAATGCTGTCCAAAGTGTACATGACTGAGGGTAATTTGGTTCCATTAAAGAGCAATAAATTGATAATTTTGATATCAAATTTATGATTTATTTCCATTGTTATTAGCTCACCTGGCACGAAGTGGCGCGGCGTCCGTCTTCCGTCCGTCCGTCCTCGTCCGTCAACTTTTCCTTTAAACAACTTCTTCTGAAGAACGGACAGGCCTAGAGTCATGATATTTAGCTGTAAGCTTCGTTGGTAGGAGCCCTACAAAGTTTGAGAACGAAAATGACCTTGACCTGTTTTCAAGGTCACAGGGGTCAAATATGTCAAAACTTCAAACGACTTCTTCTGAAGAACTGAAAGGTATAGAATCGTTATATTTGGCTGGTGGCTTCCTGGGATAGAGACCAACAAAGTTTGCGAATGAAAAT